GCTCGGCGAACAACTGAACATCATATATATATATATATATATATATATATTCATAATTTCTAATTATCACTGTGGATAGTTGTTTTGAATTTAACCTACTGAGGGCAGTAGATTTTCGTCACCGGAGTAACTAAATACTTTTCCATTTAAGTTGATTGCAAAGTGTGCTCAAGTTGTGCGCAATGATGCAGAACAAATGACTGTCAACTACGCTGCCTATCCCCGCTGCTGAATCGAAAGTGATACCCTAAATTGTCCTTTTGATTAATGCATCATAAAGAAGGGAGTTAGAAGTCTACTGCACATCGTTCAGGTAGATCAGGTTATGCGGCGGAACCGGAAAAAAGTTGAGCCGTTAACCTCTTTTGATACAGAAGGTCACAGACAGATCCCCATAGTTGCCGGAGAAATGCGCGGATCAAAGGAGTTTTGGTCATGAGTTGCAGCTGATTGAATCGAACGCGCATTGAGGAAGAAACATTGAGTTACGCAGGGATGAGATGAATAACGTTTTAGAGTGTATCAGGACTGCGGAAATCCAGCCAGAAGACAGCAACCAAAACCGGCGCACGAATATGGGTGGTTAATGGTTGTACAAACTGAAACTGCGGAAATCCAGTGATTGAAATACTAGTATGTAGTGATCAGTACGGCAATTTTTTGTTACATTGCATAATTCGAGTTTCACACTGATTTTACTACTGTTTTTGTTTGTCCTGCAGGCTGAGAATCCCCGCGAGCAAATGCTTGGCAGGCGCAGCTCCGGTGTCGAGTCGCAACAAGGTCAGACGTCCGGGGTCAAATCGGGGACTGCTAATACTTCTGCCGATGGAACGCAACCAAACGCTCCGAAGAAGTACCGGGAATTCAAGTTCTAGGCTCCCGTCATTTTACGATGATATCAACAAACCATCTGCTCTAACCCTGTGTTTTCAGTTTGTTTGTATATAAGTGATTTGCAATCCACGACCATCATATCAACAAAGGCATTCACTTTTTACTGCTGCCCGGGGATAAGTTCATTCGCTTAACCCTGATGATCGATAATCCGGTTTTGATCTTCCACAGAATTGCGGGTGGGAAAGATCAATATTTCGTACGGCTTTTAGGCTGGGGTTCAAAAGACTCCACCACCGGTTGTTTGGAGACATTCAAGGATATGGTGGCGAACCGACAGCAGTGGCGTTCTTGTTGTCGTTTCTTATCAGGTCATAATGCTTGGCACGGTATGTATGCAGAGTTCGATTGCGTACTCTGTGTTGACCATAGAGGTTCACTTTTTCCCTCCCTCAAAATAGGTCCTATCCTTGTCCACTTTGAATATTAACACTAAGCTTATGTGCATTGTGAGTTTGGCAACGACCAGTGAAGTTCACATCACTGTATTTCACTGTACGATGATGATGATGACACTGGATAAAGTTAGGGGCTTTTATCAAACAATGGTGACTTCACGTATGTAGCAGCATGATTATTTTGCGGTCTTGCCTTAGGAAAATACCATTATCATAGCCTAAGTTTATTGGTAAACAGGGTCATTGTCACCGGGCTCAATATCGCGCATATCCCACTAGCCATTTCAAACTTCAGGACTCGGGTTGTCGGTTTGCATAGGTAAACAGTAGGTATTCGGGATTAGTGTAAAAAAGTGCTTAAGAGCCCAACGCCTACATGTCAAACGGTACCTTGCAATTCACCTCGCACCACGTGCGTAGTGGCGAGAATCATCACCACCCACTGAATAATTTGGAAATTGAGCTGAATAATATTGGTTGCTTTTTAATAAAAAACATCATAAACTAGCGTTCGGATAGAAATGATCAGCCATGTCACAAACTTCTAATGGCCAGGATAATTCTGCGATTCCTTCTCCCCAGCTTCGATCGGAGGAAGTAACACTCAGATCAGAGCTGTCGAACTGTCGTTCGGACGTCAGACGGATGACAGTTTTTGCAGTGACTTTCCAGTTGCTTTCAGCAGCAGCTACACAATCTGGCTGTTTAAGGTTTCCTATCACTGCAACCATTTCGCCAACTTTGGGGCAGCTCGCTGCAGCTTTATCGTCCTGTTCGTTACCATGACATTCGATTTGCATACACCCAGTAGCGTCGTCCAGAAAGAACTGTTTTTGGCTCATCACTTGTCTGACTGTGCCTTGGAGCCATACCAAACTGCAGACAATCGGGGGACGCCCCGGCTTGATTTGAGGAATATGCCACTTCTCACGGAGCTCGTCGAAGTACGGTCGGCGCTCTGAGATAATCTGAGCAATCAGCACTTTGCACATAAGCAAAGGCGAAGTGGAGTATTTGGTAGTCATCTAAAAAGTGTAAGAAAACAATTAGACGGTGTGTGAATTGACCAGACTAACAGTGGAGCATGAACACGTTGCCTATTTACCCTTTCGGTGCCTTAGTTTTGTGCTCGTCATTGGTGTCTGTTTAGCTACTTTAACAGTTTGCTACAATCTGAGAATATAAAAGTGGTTCGTCTCAAATAACTTTGGCGTTTGGTATTGTTTATCAAACGAATCAAAATTTTCACTACCTTAATAGTTTAGATTCATGACACCGTGACCCATGTTGACGGATGTAGACTTGATTGCTGTATGCTTCTTCCTATTCCTGATTTTATGAAACTACCAACCGATAGATACAAGCTTGTAGAAGACTACCGCTGTTTCTGAAATGCATCTCGTTTGCTGCGGATCTCAGCTCCTTTGGGTGCGAAGTTCACCATGTACTCTATCTTGCACGGTTACTCACAAAAGAAAACGCGTGAACTTCGCCTTGACCTTGAACTATTAAATGCTCCCTGTAGCGGTTATAGTTATAGTTCTCTAACTGAAATGTAAGCTTGAGTGCTTGCTTAAGTTATACGGAATACACTAGAACTGATCTCAAAGCTTGGTTTATGCAACCATTGAGGTTATATGTGACCCCGTCGGAGGATTGAAAGGAAGAAGTTCCGGGGTCAAGACAGAACATACAGAGTTAGAATAAGTTTGTGCAGTGATTGAGTAGATCCAACAGTGCCACTGATTACGACACAGCCATGTCTAACCGTTCAGAAGCTCATACGGATGAGGTTTCAAGTGACCAATATCTTCGAGTCCCTTGATCGGAGTTTTTATACCGTCAGCGTTGACTACCATCCATTTCCTGCCCTGGCAAAGATCACACACAGAATCGCCCTAGTTCGTGTTAAAGGTTATGCGTGCTCCACAATCCTGATCTATTGAGATCAAGCACTTGGTCCAGTACGCGACCGTAATCACCTAAAGCTATGCACATAACCTCTACATTGCTTGTCCGGTTACCACATTCGACTTCTGCAATGCGTTGCAGACAGCGGTATATGCACGCCTATAGTTTGTCTAAGTGTTCCGAAGCCGGTACAGAAGATAATGTAGACGGTCTGCCTCTATCGATCTCCCGCAACGAAAAGTTCTATACGACGGTGTCATCTTACGACTCCTGCTGCCTCGCGAGTCAGACTTTTGAGTCAAAGGCTCCGGTCAGGGTTCCTAAAGAAGGGACTTTCGTCAGTTTGGGCTATCGTGAAGTATATCGTGCCCCAAAGTCTCAGCCACCCATCTGGAAAATCCTCTTTCTCAGCTGTCTAGTTCTTCCTATGACTCCCAAATCTTACGAGATGCCTCCTGCTTACACTACCCATGGGATATCACTCACTGTTTAACCAGTAAGAGGAACCATTCAAAAGCTTTACCGTTGGTAAAACCAAGGTCCCCGTTTCACTTGGATGTATACCGCGCGCAAAACCTGTAAACGCCAGCTTATCGAGAGTCTGAGGAATGGCTGCGAGAAGTGGTGGGTAGGAAAGTGATGAAAAATGAAAAAGGCTGCGACTATCCGTAATAGTCGCTATGTTCTATGTTATTAGGAACACAGGTCCAATGAAAACAGGCATAAGTGATGTAATTAACGAGTCTGATGGTACAGTGATTCACAGACAGCAACGCCGTCTTGAACGATGGGTTAAACATTACGAAACTCAGTTCAATCTGTCCCCATCGACATTAAATCTGTCAACCCATGGATCATCTGGGCAATTACTGCCAGTTGACATCAGTCCTCTATCTGAAATGGTATAGGGTTTCTGGCCCAGACTAACTGTCGCCACCAGTTTTTAAGGATAGAGTTTCAACCTTGGCCTAGGAGCTGACGAACCTCCTGGGCTCAATGTGGGGGAGGGAGCAAGTCTCAATAGAATCGTGTGGATCGGTCATCTTATGAAAACAGCAAAGGAATTAGTTTAATCAACATTGTCTCTATACTTCTGGCGATCATCATACTTCGTCGATTGTCTGCCATACGTGAGGAGTGCACGCGGGAGAATCAGAGTGGTTTTAGACAGGGTCGACGTTGTATAGACCATATTTTCGATCTTCGTCAAATGTTAGAACATACTACTTTTGTAGACACATTATTTGTGTCTGATCTGAAGTCGGCTTTCGAGTCAGTCAACCGCTCTATACTCTGGCGCTTCCTCTCTCTGAAGGCCGTGTCCGAGAAGTTGGTTTCAATTTTGAGATTTCTTTATGCTAGCATCCGAAGCGGAGTCCAAGCTTACTGCACTTTTTCGCTTGAGTTCACCACTGAAAGTGGTGTTCGTCAGGAGTTGCCCTCCTTTTCGTTTCTATTTAGCTTCGCTAAAGAACTGACTATGGAAACAGCTCTATCCTCATACAAGGATATTCGCACTGACTTTCGCCTAAGTGGTGGATTGATCTAGAGTATACAGACGACATTATACTATTAACTGAAGATCCAAGTTGGATGGCTTGAGTGCTAGTTTGGCCATGCTTGTTATGCGTTTTTGCACCCTCAGAGTGCAAAATGTTGCTACAGGACTGGATTGGTTCAGCTCCCAACCCCACTCTCACTGGAAAAGTTATGGAGCAAGTAGACAAATTTTTCTACATGGATAGCTACATTTCACCTGGCGGGCGCATCAGGAATGAAGTGTCGGCAAGCATATATAAGGCTTGAGCAGTACTCGCCAACTTGAGGCGCCGTCGTGACATCCGGTCTACTGTGTAGCGTCGAGCTTATGTTACAGCGGTTCAACCAGTTCTGCTGTACGGCGCAGAAACTTGGCCATTACGAAAACGCGTTCGCACACCGCTGTCTACGTCGCACTGAGTCTAGTGGGGGGAACTGGACGAGCAAAACTGAAGTTAGACGCAGAGTTTTACGTAATCACGGTCGTCTGCTAGAGCTAGAGATCGACCTCTATAGACAGCGTTGGTTGGGACATGTGTTGTGCATGTCACCAAATAGATTGCCAAGACGAGTGATATTTGCTGAGGCAGGTGTTGTGTGGAGAAAAATAAGGGATGATCAACCCCTGACTTGCATATTTGTTCACATAGGCCGCATTAGGCTCTCTGTATAGGGGCAGGGAGACACTGAGTGGTAGGGCTGACTATCGCAAACAGTAGTGTTGTTGTACCTTTTCAGTTCCTTTACAGACTTATTCTTCACGAATTCTCTGATTTCATTCAGACACTGATTTGATCATTTCAATTTTCCTTTCACTCTTTCATCCAGATCGAAAACTATGAGTCAGAAACCAAAACCACCGCACACAAGTGCACGGTTAATGGTTGTAAAAACTGAAACAGATTTTCCAAGCTGGCAAACATCATCGAAGATCCCTATGCTTTCTGTTCATTCTTCAGTTAGAGTGAAGTTGAGAGCTGGACAAACCTGGTCCGGTAACAACAATTTACACCTGAGAAATGCTAAACGCATGCGAAACATGGCTGTACTAACACTCAAACTAACCAGAAAAGTTTGAAAAATTTAACTAAGGCTTCACTCAACACTATTGTCTTGTGCGTTCTCCAGATAAGAAAGTCTGCTACCAAGGAGCACATCGATACTACCTTCCTCATATGAGGTCCTGATAGTTTAGAAAGGTCGGCTTGAATTGTACAAGAGGTGTGTGTGTTTGGTTCGTCTTATTTATCGTAACGTCGAATTTAAAAGAATTGCCCGCTGAAGTCGCCAATTTTTGCCTGAGGTGGTCGTATACTCTAGTATTAGATTCACTGTTGTGCACTTAAATAACTCAATGCAATGTTGGCTGTTTCAGGGAATCCAGAACTCATCGGGTCTGGTAATCCGATCTACGAACTATACCCAGTCTCCACTTATAGTGTTGCCAAATGAGGCATCTTATCATCATTTGATCTACGTCAATGTTTGGATCGAGTGGACAATAGTGAAATGCACTGCGCATCCACAAGAAGTGGCAAAATTCCAGAAAACGCGATTGGGCATCAGCAAACAATGGGCGACGGAAATCAAGGATTGCAATGAAAAGCAATAAATTAGTTTTGAGTCAGTGAATGGTAGGAAGTGTTCGGTAACATCCGTATTTAAATCAGTAATTATCCAAACCACGCATCTAATGCGTTTTGTCTGCCTTTGATCGAGCTAATTAGTATATAAATAGTGCATTCAATTTGTCTACTGAGATGAATGAGATGAATTCAGTAGTGTAGATTTATCTAACAATTTGTTGGACAGATCTACCGAGCAGTATCAAGTGGAAATAGAATAAAAGGTTTTCGTTTCCTATTTCTAAGTAAAATTTACATCGAACCCTAGTTAACTACGTTGACGAAGGATGTGTAACACAAGCGGATGAAACGGGATGCACCAAAAACAAGACCACGCGACCATGAGCGTTGGAAGTGGCCACGTGACAATAGGGGGGATCACGCTTATGGCAAGTAACATAAGTTCTTAGGTGTGAGGTCTTCCTGAAA